TAACACCAAAAGAATGCCATTGAAAATAGATCATTTGTCAGGTCAATGATCACATAAAATGTTGAGATACCTCACAGCAAGAGTATAATGGTGAATCTGTAATATAGATTTAAGGGATATATCAACTGATGAAATGGGACAAAAGTTTTATGAATATAAAGTAAAAATGAGTTAAGTAACTTAGACATTGCTATACAGTAGGCATATATATATATATACGTAAGTATATACATACATATATATGGATAAAGGCAAAGATTAATCTATCTGTATTTAGTTCATCTTGGTCATATGTTTTATATAATTTAGAGAATTGTAATCTCTACAAAGGCAACACTGAAGACAGGCACTCGGGATTTTCCATATAACAGATGTGTAGAGAGATACAGATAAATGTGTAAACACATGTAAACCAATATAGCAACATATCCAAATGAAATTTAGAGAAGCCACAGAGAAGAAACTTAGAAATCATGCTAGAAACACCAGGAATAATTGTGTGACCACAAGTCTATCCATATCTATGTTTATTTCCTTGGAAGGCTCTAATAAACACCTTGAAAAAATGATAGGTTCTCCACAGTTCTTGTTTGCGGCCACTGTGTCTCTAAGTTAAAATTCTACATTTAAAGTTATCAGTCTGACAACTTACGCTTTCTGTCTTTCTCGGGGACTGATGAAAACTACAGTTAATTTCATAGACCATAGAGTGTGTTTTATGTAGATATGCAGACTGGTATTTTTTATTTACCTCTTTCGCTTCTTTCAAAGATCTAAAAATATCTCCATTGATTATTCTGACACCTGCTGGTGAGGGCACAGTGGATTTCAGTCTTTTCCCTTCCACAAGTCTGGAGCCATATGTTTTTATACATTCATTCAGCAACAATTAAGTGGTAATTTTTGCATCTGTAGTAACCACGCAAAGCATTTTACTAATTGCCCCACTTGGCATCACATTGGCATTCCTTTGATTTTTGTCATAAATGCTTTTATTTTGAAGAGGGAAGCTATCACTGTCAACATTATCACAAGACTGGAATAAATACTCTGGGCTTCATCCGAAAAACACAGCTAAGTACTCAATAGTAAGAATAACATATCTGGTTTTATTGCTTTTAATAAACGTGCCAAATTACAAACTATTTAGCTAATAAAAACAGTAAATTGATAGCTATGATAGAAGTTTTAGTACAAATTGCATACTTGTAATACTTCCTATTTTTCACATTTTATTCTTTTCATTTACAATTTCTATATTTACGTGTGTTTTTGAGATTTTAATATAACTACATCCTTCTCTCATTCCCTTCTCTCCCTTCAATGCTCACCATAAAACCTTCCACTCAAAATTAACCTTTGGCTTGAACTGAGTGCAGTAGCCTATTCATATTTTCTGACAAGGATATGATAAAACTGCTGTATCATAAATCACACTCAAAGCTATAGCACCTGCAAGTATGTGCAGTAAATACCAGCCCCACTTTCTTGGGCTTTAGAAAACAACCCAATGACTTAAACAAACATACACACCTGATTGCATATACAGTTAAAGACATTATTAGCATCTGTTTAGAGGATGAGACATCTCAAGAATAAATTACCCAATTAACAATGTTATCATAATAACTGGCAAGGAAGTAGGCGTTTGGAGTAATTTGGGCACTAAAACCCATTGAGTATGTTTTGTATGGTGCTGAGTAGCCATGTCCTTTCATTATAGTCATGTGTATTTTTATCCCGCTACATTTTATGATCAGTAAAAATTCATAACACAGTGATGGGTCAACTTCATTAAAATAGTCATTGAATCTACTACACACTAAGGTTATATGGACATTCATCTTAAGATACTTAGTGAAAATACACGCATTTTAATTTAAGGAAGTGTTCACAAATGCACTACATCTGCTTGTCTGGGAAATCTTTGTAACTTTAAGTTCGAAGAAGAACAAACTATTTCATGTCACTTCCCAATTTTTAATCTAGATATTGTCCCCCAAATCACATCCAGATAGATATATAGATGGATATGTATATATAGATATAGACATTTCTAGACAAAATAGATTTCAATTTGAAGACAACAGTTAATAAAGACTGAGAACTTTCTCAGAATCAAAGTGAAAGCTGTTTATCATGGCAATGCCTGCCATAGACCAGACACTGATTTCAAACTCTCCCAGCAGAGTACCTGATGTTCACTTAACTGTTAATTCAAAACGTTTCACCTTGAAAATGATATGAGCACTTACTTCTTAAAGTATAAAGTTAATGGTCATGCGAATTAGATGATGAAGACACCAAAGTGCAATAATAAAATCCCCACAGAAACCTGTTATTTCAGCTTAAACATCACTGTGTTAATCACTGAAGCATAGGGTCATCCGGAGTGAGAGTCTTCAGGTATTAATTTCTTCTCATCCAGAATTAACTAAAATCACCATTGATTTAAAAATGGGAATGCAAATGCCAATGATTCATATCATTTGGGAAACATCTAGAAATTTTTAGATTTTGCTGTTTGCTTATACTCCAGGCTCAAACTGCAGGCACAGGGACAGATTGCATAAGATGTCACGTGCTTGCTGCAACTGTATGCATGTTATTGGATTTTTTAAGCAATACACAATGATGAATAATTTAGGAGTTAATAAAATATTCAGTCTGACTGATCCATTGCTTTAATTTTAAAATAAAGACTACTAATAAAAGGAGTTACCTACCATTATAAAGTTCCAGATGTGAGTGCCTTTAAATTGGAACCCGCACAAAGGGAAAACACTAATTCCTATAAAACATCCCATAAATTATAGACATAAGCTGGGGTAAGGATAAGAAAGAAGTAAAGTAAAATTTAGTGTTAACACGAGCATCAGTAAGTTTTCCAAAAGTTTAATTGTTTGAACTATCAGGCTAGCTCAGCTCTGCCTTCTGCAGAGGTCTGGAAGAAGAAAATTAGAGAGGTGCAAATTTAAAAGAAAAAGCTAATGCAAAACATCCCTTTCTTTCGCAGAAGCTCTTGCTCTCCACCCACAGGGTGTTTTACAAAGGATGAGTCTGCTGAAGAATGGAGGGAATAGGTTTCCGGAGCTTTGTCTGGAAGGCCACACTGGATAGCCTGGGCAGCATCTCCGTGGTTCACTTGATGGGTGACATAAGCTGTGCCCTGGGTGACATCTTCAAGAGCTCAGGACAGCTGCAATTTGTGGTGCCCAGGTTCTAACAACCCGAAGCCCTCTGGCAAGTACTGTCACTCATCAGGTCTTCTACCATTCCAACCACCTTTGATATGGGTCAAACAGTGGCAGAGGCACGGTGTAGGTGCTTGTAAATGCCTGTGTGTGCGTGCGTGCATGCGTGTGTGTGTGGGGGGGGTGTTCCTTTCGGGGTGGGTATCGAGGCAGGGATAGCAGGAGAGGAGAGTGCCTTAAGCTTTTCCAGTTCTCTTCCTGCTAAGGCATCAAAGCACAGAAGAAATCATGGAGACAAGAAATAAAAGAAACGGAAAATACCAGCTTTGAGCGCTCTTTCTTTTTCATACCATTGGAGATTTGGCGACCTACTCCGGAGTCATTTCCATAAGCTAACCTTCACTGGAGTGACTTCCTTTGCTAGGAAACTATCTGGGCATTTTTGAAAACAGAAGCAAAGATTAATACCACACTCATTCCTACACCCAGGCATAAACAGTCAGATTCCAGGGACCTAAGAAGCCCTGAACTAGCTGCCTCCTGAATCCCAAAGAGAGAGGGTAAGAGGGCATCTGGCCCACAAGCCAAATTTCTGGAGCATAGTCCCCTAACAGCCTGTCCTCTATGGCACATCTGCGGTGCGTGAGTGTAGTACAGAGTATCCATGCAATGCCTACTCTAATCGGAAATGGATCGAGTCAACGCATTTTTTATACCACATAATTCCAGAGCCACAACGTTTTAAATCCTTGTAGTGTAAGCAGCTCTCCACTAAATGCTGTGTGGAGGGTTGTAGTACATAGGGATTTCTCAGAAGGGCCCCGGTCTGAATGAACACAGAAAGGGCACAGACACCCAATATCTTGGAAGCCCCCTCTCCTGGCTCCATAGGTTGCTGACTCCAATTCAGTACCAGCTGGTAAGGTACTGATAAGGTTTTGTATTTACAAATCTAGTCTCTCAGAGGATCTGAAAGTCACCCAAACAACTCAGCAGGAGACTCCCAGAAGTCCTGAATTTTTTAAAAAATGTTGTTTTATTTTATTTGCTTGTTTCCTGTTTACAAGCAAGCCATGAAAGATGCTGACAGACCAGCCTAAACAACTTTTGGGCTCCTGCGCTGGGGGCTCATGAAGGTTGGCTTGCACAGCACAGCTGTCTATTACCAAGAGTTATGGTCTCACCCAGAGGGAGTGCACTGTAATGCTCAGGCCCCCTGGGGGTTAGAAGAGAGAGGAGTTGTTGAGTTGTTGTAATTGAAGTCACGCGCCCAGAAGGAGGAAGGGGAAGAAAGGAAACAAGGGAGTTAGTAAACCTCTCTCCATCTCCCTGGCCTCGCAAACTCTCATAATCGGGTCCAGGTTAGCGGGTTGGCAGACCCCCTTAACCCCCTCCCTGCGCCAGAGCTCTGCGGTGGTTATCCAGGCTGTTCCAGCACCAACTAGATGATGGCCCCCCGCACACTTGACACACTCGGTTCTGCCAGGTCTTCTCAGAGCCCTATCCAATAGTCACACTTGCTAGCCAGGGTCCCACAGACAATTGATGGCAAAGGAAACCCAGGAAGAGCAACCCCCTCCACAGCTAAATCTGGTTTTCTACATCACACCCTTTCCTGGCTCAGCTCGGGGCACTCCACTCGGACTTTGCTAGCACTTTCTCGGGGTATCCAGGGTGCATCGCCTCCTCTGTGGCGCTCCCTCCAGCCAGGCACGCACTGAAGACCCACTGTGGTCTCTTTAGCGACATTTCCAAAGGCGCTCCCCGCCTGTCCCGCATCCAGCGACCCCTGCCCAGCCACCTCACCTTTGCCGAACTGGGGGACACCGAGGCTGAGTCCAACCAAAAGCCAGGCAGCTACCAAGCGCTTCATGATTCCACCTTGCAGACGTGACCCGGGCAGGTCCGGGGTCGTAGTGGAGGGCACTGTAGGCGAGGTGGCTCTGCAGGACAGCGGTTGACCCCGCCCCTGTCAGAGATTCAAGAGGATGTCTTCTTCCCGCAGAGCTTCTCCAAACAAATTCTCGGGGAAGGGTGATAAAGAGTGATGGCCCGGAGAGAAAGGGTGTCCCCCCCAGCTTTGACTGAGCTTGAGTTCTCGGAGGAGGATGTGCCAGAGAGCTGCTGGGGTTCAGCCGGCGCTGCGGGTGGGTCCTGGCCGAGGCGCAGCGGGCGGAGCTCGGGCTCCCCGGGTTCCTAGCTCCCCGACTTCCGTGAGCGCACCGCGGGCGAAGCAGCCAGCAGTGACTCCGGCTCACGCTGCTGCCGCTGCCGCCGCGGCTGCGGGGCTTCTGACTTAGAGAACAATGAAGCGTGAGCTGGAGGGGAGCGAGCCTGAGGCCAAAAGCGCACTGTGTACAAACAGTGGCGGCGCGCGGGCGCGCTTGTGAGACTGAGCCTGGCAGGCTGGCTTTGGGCTCTCCCGTCGCCCGTCCCCTTGCCCTCCCTCTTCTTGTTGCCTCCTCCAATCTCAATCCCACCCACCCCCCTCCCCGCGCCTTGGAAGGTGGCTCCTTCTGCTGGAAGAGAAAGGGAGACAGCCACAGCCACACCCTGGTACCTGCCACCATCTGCTAAGTTCCTATTTTGCTTGAACCTTCTCCACACATGATGGAAACTCTAGGGTTAGGGGTACACAAATGATGTCTGAAAAGTGTTGATTCCAGGGTTTGTTTTGCAGTTAACCGTGCAAAGGGGTCCTCTGAACTTCAGGACTGCCAGGAAAAGAAGTTGAGAAATTTTACTAAGTGGCTTTTGAAGCCTCAAGCTGGGTGAAACCCAACAGTGCTAAAAGAGGTACTCCATTTCTCAGAAGTCAAGATTTAGTCAGGAGCCAGACCCTAACCAGGCAAGCTCCCTTGTTCTGTCTACAAATCAGTAAGCACTTCTGAGAAGGAAGGCTGTGGGCTCATCTCCTCCCAGCCTAAAGGGGACAAAAGCAAGTAGGAGGCCTGTAAGCAGGACATCTGTTTCACATGAGAAAAAGAGAGGCGTTGGGGACATGGCAGAGAAACAGAGGGAAGAAGGGATTCTTGACACATCACTCAGGTGGATCAAATTTCGCTGCTCCCACCAAAACTAAAATAAATGGGCTTATTTTGCACTGAAAATGATTGAACCAAAAATGCAGCCTCTGGCTTACAATTGTGCTTTCTCCTCTGTTTTCGGTTAGACTGATTACTTACTGTAGATTCAATTCCTGCAGAAACAAGTACCAAAATGAAACAGAGTATTCCGTGCCCTCACCGACACTGCCCTCCCCGGTTAGGGAGGGATGTGGGAGGACAGAAAACACATGCATAGGGAAACTGACAGAAACAGTCCATCTACAGGATTTCATGCTGAGACCTTTTCATTTTCTGCCCCAAGTACTCGGAGCCTCAACCTCTACCATCTTTCTGGTGTTTGAAGTGAAAATAAAGGATGGAAGGTCATGAAAAACAATTGTAAAATAATACCCAAAGATCCTAGGGAAGGATAGTATGTATCAGGGGCAAAACACAACCACAAAAATAATGTTTTTCCTGTTGGGTGAAAGGGTGACAACCAGTTTTAAAACGTTATTTTGCCAAGGGAAAGAAGATTGATTTATTTACTGTGTGTGTACTCTTGTACTTAAACCCACCCCTGTTGGACCAGCACTGCTCAGACTTGTAAATTCACTCTACTCAACCACAACTCTGCTTCCTTGTAAACCACTATAATTGAAGTCTGGAAATGAATTCCTGCTGTGACATATGTTTTACAAAGGAGTGAGCTAACGTGTGTACTGACAAGTGACTTCTAAGGGATCATTTTTAAAGGATATGGCAAACTCTAAAATGTGGAGCCTGACCCCGCTCTGCATAAGATAGCCAATGAGAGACAATCAGATGAAAATTGAGTTTACTTTCTCATTGTATTTACTATTTCCACTTTACTAATAATAAATGAAGCATGTCAAGGCCAGGCTGGTGAAACCCATAGAAACAGCTAAGATCAACAAGGGGGAACTCATGGACTCCAGACTGAGATTTGGGAAACCAGCACAGGACAGACCCAGACCCCCTGAATGTGGGAGGTCAGGGCCTCTGGTAGTGGATCAGTATTTATCCCTAGCATATGAATGGACTTTGGGAGTCCATTCCTCATGGAGGATTACTCTCTCAGCCTAGTCACTCTGGGGAGGGCCTAGGCCCTGCTCCAAAGGATATGACAGACTGTGAAGATCCCCCATGGAAGGCTTCACCCTCTCTGGGGAGCAGAAAGGGAATGGGATAGGGAGGTTAGTGGGGGGCAGGGGAGGAGGGGAGGTAGGGGAACTGGGATTGACATGTAAAACAATCTTGTTTCAAATTTAAATTAAAAATAATGGGAAAAAAGCATGCCAAGATTTTAACTTTTTTTTCCTGCAAAACGTAGGCTACTAAATACAAAAAAAGTTTTGTTTTGTGCTTTTTCATTTTGTTTTGCTTTTCATACTTAAGTAAGGACAAAACCACATCAAGATGCCTAGTCTATGGCCAAATAAAGGAGTGATGACAACACAAAGGTCACTCTTCATTAACTGGTGCACCCCATTAGAAAGGTGTGGTCAATTTTTCCCTCTGCTTCCCTAAGTCTCAATTTGATTCAGAGGATGGTATATAGTCTTCAACACAGCAGCATGCACAGGGTGGGGACCCTTCTGCCTACCCATTGAATGACCATCTACAAACAAGCCTTCATCCTGAAAATTTCAAGTAGTTACCTTCAATTACACTTGCATTTACATCTTCATTTGCATTCGAAATCCATTTCACATTTATTCCACTTGCACAGGGCTGTACACAAGTATCCAGCTCTTTCGCAGGTGGAATATAGAAAATGGTTAAAAGACTGCACAAACTGAAAAATCAAAGAAAGAAAGGGCAAAACGACAAAATGCTGTTATGAAGCTTTTCTGCACATGAGGTGTTAAGAGACCTTTACTAATCAAATGTGATTTAGCCTATGGTTTTACAGCCTCTCCAAATATGTGCCTAAAGTACTAAAAATGATCTATGCATCACATGAAAATAGCATTTCCCAAATTGTTTTCCACAGGTATTGTTATCTATAGGTTGTTGATAGGTTTCTGGGAAAAGAAAATAAAAGTGTTGCATGGAGAAATGATTTGGGGAACACTGTGTATTAAAGAAGTTTCTTATATAGCCTTGATAATTATTTACCTATTAAATTCTTTGTTATGTGTTTAAGAAGGTTTTCCAAAAGTGATTAATCCAGCATTTTGCAAACTTTGTTGTTTTTGCTGCTGTTGTAGGCATCATGAGACGATTTTCCTTAATATACCTGTTAATATATTATATATTTAGCACTGCAAGGAAAATGGTATTGCCTTAAAATGAAGTAAAAATAAGTAGGGTGAAAACAATCAGATGATCCTGAGCTGTAAGGAAAGGAGAGTGAGCTGAGAAAAAGCATGCGGTGTTCTCTGAAATGTGGGCAGATTCACCAAGCTCTTTGTACTGTGGTATCTCTGCCATTATGGACTGTAATCTCAAAGAGTGCTGAAATAAACATTTTCCTTGCTTAATTACTTCTAGCAGTATATTTTCTTAAGATAACAGGGAAGGAAACTGAGACATGATGAATTCTGAAGGCAGAGTGTTTGGTGATTACGTGGTTATGGTAGAACAATCGTGAATGAAATTAGTGTTGCCTTGAGAGAGATATACTTTCTGTCACTCCATCTCTGTCTCTCTCTGTCTCTGTCTCTCTGTCTCTCTCTCTGTCTCTGTCTCTCTCTGTCTCTCTCTCTCTGTCTCTCCCTCTTCCCCTCCCTCCCTCCCTCCCTCCCTCCCTCCCTCCCTCCCTCCCTCCCTCCCTCTCTCTCTCTTTCTCTCTCTCTCTCTCTCTCTCTTGATGTCTGACGCCTCCGTGCTCCCTTGTACCCACACTTCTCTTCACTGACACTAGGACATATAAGGAGGTAGCCATGTGTAAGCCAGGAAACACACTGTCACTACTGAATCTGCCAGTAACCTTATTTGGGACTTTCTAACTACAATAACTAAGAAACAAATGCTACAATGCACCCACACTGTGGTAATTTGTTTAATCTGCCGAAACGGTGCACAGTTTTTGCAAGATTTCATTTTTAAATTGATTTTATGTGTATTTGTATTGCCTGCATGTATGTTCAATGCTGTGTGGTATTTTGATCTCATTCTGACAATAAATATTGTTTTGAGTCAGAGGGGAGGGCTAGCCACTAAGTGACCAAAATTAACCGTGGAGGTTGAGAGGACCAAGGACAGGTAAGGGACAGGAAATAGTAAGGCGAGGCTGAGAAAAGATGTTAGCTTTTTGGATAGAGGAAAGGAAGAGATGGGGGTCACTGGTGGTTTCTCTGCCCCTTTCCTGATCATTCAGGTTTTTACCCCAATGATATCTGACTCCCAAGTTTTTATTGATGTAGAAAAATTAAACTCCTTAGTCCATGACAATAATGTAGTGCCTGAAGAGACCAGAAGAGGGCATCAAATTACTGAACTGAAGTAACTGACAGCTGCTAGGCATCAGGTGGGTACTGGGACCTGAATCAGTGTGGTCTGCAAGAGCACAGAGTGCTGTTAATTGCTAATCTGTTTCTCCAGCCTCTAAGCTCACTTTTTTTTCGGGACTCATTAGTATTGGTTAGCAGTTTGGACTCTGGAACATACCTGGATTCTGGACATATCTAAATTGGTTTTCCCTACCTTGATTATAGCTCAACGAGCACAAATAAGGTCAGTTAGTTGCTAGGCCTCAGTGTTTCCATCTGTAAAATGGAGTCATCAACAGGACAAAACTTGTAGTGTTAAGCTGTTACATGGTGCATCAAAGGATATAACTCCAGTAACTGTTATCTAGTATTGGTAATATAAGATGGTAAATAAGCGTAAAACTATGATTACATGTCAAATATCATGATAATCTCTTGTTAATAAGTGATAATCTCTATCCCTACATTTCTGTTTTCATTAAATTATCTTGAAGCTTGAAGTTAAATTTTCAATTTATCAGAAAAATAAAACTAAACATAACTGTGCCATTAAAAATGTTGTTAACTAAGTTAACAATAGATGAAATCTTAAAGAACTTAACAAAAGTATACTCAGTACTCTTTATTCTTGCTTGTGTTCAGTACTGAGTATCAAACCTGGTGACCCTGATTATTCAAGCCAGTATTGTAAGACTGAAATGGATTACCAGCTCCAAGTTGTATAACATTATACATGCAGTCAAGAACAAGTGGATTTCTGACCTTAGAAACAAACTGTACACTTATGAACACATGCTGTTTTTGCTGCCAAGGTTGTGATAATACGTTTTGAAGCAACAGTAGGTCACTGTTGCTTAGTCGTAGAATTAAATTGAGTGTGTCTTAACATTTGTCAGTGCTGGAGCCAAAG